TCAACTCCCAGAATTCCCCAGCCAGCCATGAAGTCCACTCATCTTAAAGTGGCCAAGTTTGGACAACACTGCTATAGGGTGTCCTTGTACTGCCAAAGCTTATAGACTGAGCTTTGAAGTGCAACTAGTATAAACAATCTCATTTAGAATAGGTAACTGGGTTGGGATTTTACACACAAATTTTATTTTGAACTCCTAGTTTATATTAATGGCATTTTGGACATAAGCTGCTGACCAGATATGGTGGTCATGTTTTTTTCTTGCACACTCTTATGCAAGTCATTGGTTTTTGATCTTGAAAGGGATCTAGATAGGTCAAAACATTGTTATATACTAGACTAAAATGTCATGATTCACTGCCTTAATATCTCTGTAGTGATTAGAAGAGAAAAAGTCACAATCCCATAACTGTAAGTCTCAGAAGAACGCCACTGAGATTAGTGAGTCTCGAATGTGAGAGTGTATATGTGTGTGTTCAAGATCCAAGTCAAAGTAATCACCCTATAATGTGATTATGTGGTTGAATAATAATAGAGCTATTTCTCTAATTAAATCATCCTATGCAGGAGAGCCACAGACATGACTCAAAGGAAAGAAATCCCCAGTTTACTTTTTTTTCCCTTTCTCTGATAACATTTGATCTTTGTTATGTCTTCGGTCATTCTGATCAGCTACTTGTCTGTTATTTTAAACTACTCTACCATAATCCCCTTCTCTCTCTGTGTGTCTCTCTCTCTCTGAAGTTTGTGGCTCATCAGACTGACACACCACACCTAACCATATACACGTTTTACATGGCACTAAAGGTCAGATATGTGTGATGGGAATGCATACTGAATTTTGCATGTATGTGGATGAAGTGCTTTGGTACCAGCATACAACTAAGTCCACTTTTGGACATTTTGTGGCAACCTAGCAGAGCAGAGTCGAATTATGAGCTAGGAGTGCAATTCATACAGCCACTTTCAAGGGTTGTTTTGTTGAATATAGTAGAATTGTTGTCTGTAACTATGTTTTAAAAAAGGATCAAAAGAGCTCTGTGCTATATTGGTTTTTCTATACAGTTTACTATGGATATATTGGATTTTTTTCCCTTGTGGCGTGCAGCTGAGAACAAATCCCAGATTTACTGACACATGAACATTTGTTTCTGGCACAGACTGAAATCGGGACATGATTGGTGAAACCTTCTTTGGAAGGGGCTGAGCAGATTCTTATCACATCAGTTCCTGATCCATCAACCTGACCAAGAAACAAATCAGATAGGGCTTGATATAAAGAAGGGTTTGGCAGTTCCTTATGGGAGGAGAACTGGCATATAAATCATCATCATCATCATCATCATCATCATCATCATCATCATCATCATCATCATCATCATACTACCACCATCCTTGTGTTTAGATAGCAGAGGATTTGACAGATCCTTCTTTATATCAGCACTTGTCCAATTTTATTTCTTCTGCAATTATATGAACATTACTGAAGAAGACCCTCACTGTTGCCAAAGCTTCAGGCCGAAGTTGTACTCTCATTCCTGATTTTATGCTAAATCTTCCATCTCTCCCAGACTAGCATCTATAGTAAGTGAATTTTAAGATAGTAGGCTTAGCTTCTAGCTGGTGCGTTTCTTCAAGCACTGACCTTATTAACCTTTGCCATTGTTCTGCTTCCTACCTAATTTCAAAAGGAATTTTTGTGTTGGCATGGGAAATATTGCTCTATCCACATCAGGATTGGCTTATTTTTTCTCAGTGGGGGACTATACCAGGTAATGTGTTGGGAGTTTCATGTCAATTGCTGGGCAAAGCTAAAGCAGGTAATGGGTTGATCAAGATTCAACAATGTGTGGAGCTAGCTATTATCTCTTTTTCATTCTTTCTGTCTCTGCCCCTCCCACCTTTGGAAATCCTCTTCTCTTTCCTCCTTCCATTGCAGCAGACTGGCAAAAGGCCTTGGTGATCTATGCCAGAAACTGACTGGGGGAAGTTCAGCCATATTAGTTCACCAGGACTGTTCAGTAGCTTTTGATATCATTGAGTATCAACTCTAAGTAGTTGACCTATCATGTCCCACAAGGTTCCATTTTGTTCCTCATGCTGTTTAACATCTTTATGAAACCATTTGGGGAGGTCATCCAGAGTTTTGGAATAGTGTGTTTTCAGTATATTGATGACACCCAACTCTATTACTCCAACTTCAAGGAAGCAATCTGTGCCTTGAACATTGCATAAGCTTATTAATAGGAAACTGAATTCAGAGATTGACATTCAGTTGTCTTGGGTGTGATTGCATACCCCCTGAAAGACCAAATTCACAATTTGGGAGTGCTCCATGATCTTCAGCTGGGGGTCCGAGGTGCCACCTGTGGCGAGAAGTGCCTCTACACAATTCTTTCTAGTGCACTAGTTGCAGCCCTTCCTGATCTACTCAGATTTGGTGATGGTTACCCATAGCTTGGATATATCATAGCTTGACCACTGCAATGCACTCTGTAGAGCTTCAGTGGTACCTCGGTTCACGAACTTAATTCGTTCCACGATTCTGGCTGTGAACCAAATTGGTCGCCAACCGAATCAAATTTTCCCATAAGGTTCAATGTAAATAAGGTTAATCTGTTCTGAACCATATGTATTTTTT